TTATCTGGGCGGCACTAGGAGAGCGGGCCGCTGGGGCTGGGGCGGGGCCGCAGGGGCTTTCTGATCGCAGAAGGAGACAGACTGGAGGCGGGACTTCCGGATCCCGGAGGGGGCGGGGCTTGGAGGGCAAGAGGCAGGGCCTCCCCTTTGCCAGGGGCGTGGCGTGGTCGTAAGCTCGGGTCCAACCCCGCAGGTGGAAGGGTGAGAACGTGTCCACGCGGGAGGTGGAGGGCGTGTTGTCGCAGGTGGACTTCTTGCAGGAGGTTAACGTCTATGGCGTGTCTGTGCCAGGTGCGGAGGGTTCGCCTCAGTTTAAAACTACAACAGCTTTGTGGGTGGAGGGTTGTTACTCCAATTTTATAGGTGGAGAACTGCTAGGGCACAGAGCGGTTTAGAGACTTGCCTGGTCGCACAGCCAGTGAGCAGAGCTGAGCGAGGCAGGAGGGTCAGTTGTGGGCCCCTCGAGATGGTTCAGCTGAGAGTGACCAGTGTGCTTCCTAGGGTGTGAGGGTAAGGTGGGCATGGCTGCTGTGCAGCTGGTCCCCGGCCAGACTTTCGATGGGCAGAAGCTATTCCGGTACGTCCGTGCTTGGCTCCCTGCCTACGCTGCCCCTCACTTCATCCGTATCCAGGTGAGTCCAGGGTGGCAGGAGTAGGTGGGTGGGGGATAACGGCCAGGGGTGGCTGTCACAGTCTGGGGGTTATGATCACCACTCTGCAGGACACCCTGGAGATCACAAGCACGTTCAAACTAGTGAAGGCCCAGTTGGTGCGTGAGGGCTTCAATGTGGGTGTCATCGCTGACCCACTGTTTGTACTGGATAACCAGGCCCAGACCTTCCTGCCTCTGACAGCAGACATATACCAGGCTGTGTGTGAGGGAACCTGGAGGCTCTGACCCTCTGACTGCCACCCTACTCAGTGTCACCTTCACCCTGGGCCTGCATGAGGTTGTCATGAACCCAGACTGACCATATCCCTAACCTCACCACACTGGAAATGACAGTAGGCCCTGTAGCAGTGAGAGAATAAACTCGAATGTATACACTTAAGTCTGTGTCTGTGTGGATGAAGGAACAGTGGCAGTGCAGCACCTAGTGCCCCCAGAGACCTTATTTTACAGTCCTCTTTTTTTTTATTTTCTTTTTTTTGAGACAGAGTCTCACTCTGTTGCCCAGGCTGGAGTGCCGTGGCATCAGCCTAGCTCACAGCAACCTCAAACTCCTGGGCTCAAGCAATCCTCCTGCCTCAGCCTACTGAATAGGTGGGATTATAGGCATGCACCACCATGCCCAGCTAATTTTTTTTATATATATTTTAGTTGGCCAATTAATTTCTTTCTATTTTTAGTAGAGACAGGGTCTCACTCTTGCTCAGGCTGGCTTTGAACTCCTGATCTTTTTATTTTTTTGGGACAGAGTCTCACTTTGTTGCCCAGGCTGGAGTGCTGTGGCATCAGCCTAGCTCACAGCAACCTCAAACTCTTGAGCTCAAGCAATCCTCCTGCCTCAGCCTCCCAAGTAGCTGGGACTACAGGCATGCGCCACCATGCCTGGCTAATTTTTTCTATATATATTAGTTGGCCAATTAATTTCTTTCTATTTATAGTAGAGACAGGGTCTCACTCTTGCTCAGGCTGGTTTCGAACTCCTGACCTTGAGCAATCCGCCTGCCTCGGCCTCCCAGAGTGCTAGGATTACAGGCGTGAGCCACGGCGCCTGGCCAATTATTATTTTTTTGAGACAGAGTCTCACTCTGTTGCCCAGGCTAGAGTGCCGTGGCGTTAGCCTAGCTCACAAGCAACCTCAAACTCCTGGGTTCAAGCGATCCTCCTGCCACAGCCTCCTGGGTAGCTGGGACTACAGGCATACACCACCATGCCTGGCTAATTATATATATATTTTTTAGATGTCCAGCTAATTTCTATTTTTTTAGTAGAGACGGGGTCTCACTCTTGCTTAGGCTGGTTTCGAACTCTTGAGCTCAAACGATCCACCTGCCTTGGCCTCCCTGAGTGCTAGCATTATAGGCGTGAACCACCACACGTGGCCAACTGGATTTTTATATAGAAGAAAAGAGATTTCTAATACATACACAGTCAAAAATAAACTCCAGATTTATTAAAAAACCAGGATATTTTCAATGATTTTTTTTTTTTTTTTTTTTTGAGACAGAGTGTCGCTTGGCATCAGCCTAGCTCACGGCAACTTCAAACTCCTGGGCTCAAGCAATCCTCCTGCCTCAGCCTCCCAAGCAGCTGGGACTACAGGCATGTGCCACCATGCCCGGCCAATTTTTTCTCTATATATTAGTTGGCCAATTAATTTTTCTATTTATAGTAGAGACGGGGTCTTGCTCTTGCTTAGGCTTGTTTTGAACTCCTGACCTACAGCGATCCGCCTGCCTCAGCCTCCCAGAGTGCTAGAATTACAGGCGTGAGCCACCGTGCCCAGCCTGATTTTTTTTTTTTTTAAGACAGAGTCTTGCTGTCACCAGTGCTAGAGTGCTGTGGTGTCAGCATTGCTCACAGCAACCTCAAACTCCTGGGCTCAAGCGAGCCTCCTGCCGCAGCCTCCCGAGTAGCTCAGACTACAGGCAAGCACCACCACACACACCCATGCCTGGCTTTTTCTATTTTTAGTAGAGACAGGGTCTTGCTCTTGCTCAGGCTGGTCTTGAACTGACCTCCTCCCACCTTGGCCTCCCAGAGTATTAAGATTACACCATGAGCCTCAGAGCCCAGCTAATGATATTTTTAAATATTAGGAAAAAGTGAAAATTTTATGACCTCTGGAGTTGAAAAGGACTCCCCATCCCAATACCCAGAATCGATGAACATTTTATCTCCCATGGCAAAAGGGATGCTGCAGGTGTGATTAAGAGTGCAGGTGGGGCCGGGCGCTGTGGTTCACGCCTGTAATCCTAGCTCTTGGGAGGCCGAGGCGGGCGGCTTGCTCAAGGTCAGGAGTTCAAAACCAGCCTGAGCAAGAGCGAGACCCCGTCTCTACTATAAATAGAAAGAAATTAATTGGCCAATTGATATATATATAAAAAATTAGCCGGGCATGGTGGCGCATGCCTGTAGTCCCAGCTACTCGGGAGGCTGAGGCAGAAGGATCGCTCGAGCCCAGGAGTTTGAGGTTGCTGTGAGCTAGGCTGACGCCATGGCACTCACTCTAGCCTGGACAACAAAGGGAGACTCTGTCTCAAAAAAAAAAAAAAAAAAAAAGAGTGCAGGTGGGTGGTGCTAACTGTTCAGCACTAATGTGCACTTATAGCAAGTAACATTCACAGGGTGTTAGGCAGGTGGGAGGCAGTAGGAAGGGATGGGTAAATTCACACTTAAGGGATAAATTTTTTTTTTTTTTGAGACAGTCTCAATTCGTTGCCCAGGCTAGAGTGAGTGCCGTGGCATCAGCCTAGCTCACAGCAACCTCAAACTCCTGGGCTGAAGCGATCCTTCTGCCTCAGTCTCCCGAGTAGCTGGGACTACAGGCACGCGCCACCATGCCCGGCTAATTTTTTCTATATATATTAGTTGGCCAATTAATTTCTATTTCTAATAGAGACAGGGTCTCGCTCAGGCTGGTTTTGAACTCCTGACCTCGAGCAATCTGCCCACCTCAGCCTCCCAGAGTGCTAGGATTACAGGTGTGAGCCACTGCACCCGGCCAATAAATTTTTTTAAAAAGTACGGTGAGGGGAGGGGACAAGATGTGATTAGGGATCTTGAGATGGGGAGAGTATCATGGGTATTAGGTGGGCCCTAGGTATATCACCAGGTCCTTAAGAGGAGGCAGGAGGACCAGAGCCAGGGAGCTGGCAGCCTAAGACTTGACCACCTATTGCTGGTTTTGAGGATGAAGGAACCACAAAGGAATGTGGGTGTCCTCTAGAAGCTGGGGAAGGTAATGATATGGGTTATCTTCTAGAGCCTCCAGGAGGAACCAGCCTTGTTGAAACCTTGATTTTAGCCCAGGGATACCAATTTGAGTTCTGACCTTCAAACCTGTAAAAGAATAAATCCATGTTGTTGCAAGCAGCAACATGTTAGAGCAGCAATAGGAAATTAATACAGTGCATTGGTGAGTCCTCAGTGACTGCCCAGAGATCCAGATGGATCTCCCTGGGCAGCTGGACATGGTGGCACACACTTGTAATACTAGCTACTCGGGAGATTGAAGCGGGAGGATCACATGAGCCCAAGAGTTCCAGGCTGCAGTGAGCTATTATCACGCTATTGCACTCCTTCCTGGGCAACAGAGCGAGACCCTGTCTCTTAAAAAAAAAAAGAAAACCAAAAAACAACCTCCTTGGATACCACAGAGCTGACCCTTTGCCCTCCTGCTACATAACCAACTGACCTTGTTGGGATGCAGCCCTGACCTGGAGGTGTACATGGCCTCAGCGATACCTGTGTGCGGCCCTCTTCTCGGTAGTCACCCTTGCCCATCCATGCTTGGAAAGGAAATCCCCTTTCTTTCCACTCAAACCCAAGCTCAAGAGTTCAAAGTCCAGAGAAGCTGGTGAGTGACATGGGTGGCCAGGGAAAAAGGGAGGCCGGCCTGGGCACCTTGGCCACAGGAGGGATGGCCCTTCTGGGCTTAGCTGCCTCCTGACTCCAGCTGCTGGGAAGAAAGAGCACACTGCTTTTCTTCTGACCAGCAGAAGCCAGAAACCAGGATTCTTATTCAGAAACTCCCCATTATAAAAATGGAACTTGCCGGGCGCGGTGGCTCACGCCTGTAATCCTAGCACTCTGGGAGGCTGAGGCGGGCGGATTGCTCGAGGTCAGGAGTTCAAAACCAGCCTGAGCAAGACCCCGCCTCTACCAAAATATAGAAAGAAATTAATTGACCAACTAAAAAAATATATATATAAAAAAAACAATTAGCCGGGCATGGTGGCGCATGCCTGTAGTCCCAGCTACTAGGGAGGCTGAGGCAGTAGGATCCCTGAGCCCAGGAGATTGAGGTTGCTGTGAGCCAGGCTGACGCCACGGCACTCACTCTATCCTGGGCAAGAAAGTGAGACTCTGTCTCAAAAAAAAAAAAAAAAAAATGGAACTTATGTTAAAAATCTAACACACACATAGAGGTCAAGGGTCACATGAAGCAGGACGAACAGAAGCCAGATGTGCTTTCCTGGGCTTTCTACTGCCTTCCAAACTGAGACCTCAGGCCCAGCCACTGCAAGCAGGAACAGCAATGGGGTCCCAGGAGTAGACAGTGTTGTCAGCCTGAACCATGTCACAAGCAAGGGGTCCTGGGGCTTGGCAGCCTGGGGCCATCGTCATTAGTTAGCCTAGGACTTGAACCCAGACCTCATTCAGGAAGACAAGGGCAAGAAGGGAAGGAGCAGCTTCTTTTTCTTACACCCAGTTCTTTTGGGGGAGGCCGGGGCAGGGGACCTGCTTGGACCACCGTTCACTCCAGAGGCCCCTGCTGCCTTCAGAATCTCCTGGACTGAGGCACATCCTGATGCCACAGGGGCTGGCATCCAGGCCGTGAAAACTCTGAGGCCCAGGGCAGGGCTGCCCTGTCCAGGTGTTCACATGGCCTCAGCCTGGTGGCTCTTTCTGTGGATGACCAGCTGGGATTTCCAGTCAAAGCTGCGGCCGCAGTCACTGCAAAAGTGGCGCCGCTGGCCAGCATGGTTCTTCCGGTGGATAACCAGCTGCGACTTCCAGCTGAAGCTGTGCCCGCACTCCTCACAGACATAGCTCCTGGGCCCCACCAATGACCGCAAGGGGAGGCGCGAAGCAGCATGTTCCAGGGGAAACTGCAGCGAATTCTCCGCATCGCCCCCGGTGCCCAGGGCCCAGGCCTGCGCGCTCTGCCCGCCTGCATGCGTCCGGTGGTGGATGACAAACACCGACTTCCAGTCGAAGTCGAGGCCACACTGCTCGCACGTATAGGGCTTCCTGGCAGGCGCACCAGGCTCCCCAGCCTCTGGGGGTGTGGGTGGGGGATGCACTGGTGGGGTCCCCAGGCCCATCGACGGAGCAGTTGGAGCGGCCCCAGACAGACCCTCCCAAGACACAGGCCCCTGGCGCCGGGGTAGCTGGGCCTCTGGGCAGCCCGGAGGAACCTCGCTCTCATCTCCTGGGGGAAGGAGGGGTGCACTCAGCTGAGTCTTGGTACCCGTGTCACGGGCCCACCCCACTCAGGCTTGTGAGGTGGCATAAGCTCCCCACAAGGAGGGGCACTCACCTGGGCAAAGGATTCTGCAGACCTCAGTCCTGGGCTCAGGCTGGGCCCGCACTGGCTGCAGCTGTGGGGTCGGCAACCCTGCTGGTGTAGGGAGCACAGTCAGGCACTAGGCATGGCTGGGGGCTGGCACAAAGGAGGGGTGGAGTGGGGGCTCCAGGGAGTGACAAGGGTGCCCCCCAGGAAGGAGGGAGAACAGGGCCAAGCACTGGGAGGCACACACAGGACAGGCTGGTACCGCAGATGCCCAGCCCCACAAAGGCCAGCCCCCAGCGGTGCGTGCATCAAAGGAGAGGGGAGGGGTAGGCCAGATCCTCACCCAGAGAGACTACTGTGCCGTACTTCTCCAGCATCGTGTCCCAGTACAGCTCCTTCTGTGACGGGTCCAGCAACCCCCACTCCTCCTGCAGACACAGCCCATCACGGCAGGTGCCAGTCCACTCCCTGCCCCGCCCCACCCGGTGGTCACATCCTTACTCATTACCTGGGGGAGCGAGCAGGTTACCTAAGTCTCATCTGCTGGGAGAGGCTAAGGATGAAGCTGAGATGGGTGTCTGTGAGTGTTGGGGTCCTCCTTCAGATCACCTGACCAACGCCGCCAGCACTCACAGCCGTCAGCTGTCCCACCCCACTGAGAGAACGTGACCTTGGCAGTACAGCAAGAACCCAAATGGCTTTACCAAAGAATGTACTCATCTGGGGCTTTCCTGGGCTGGGAAAAATAATCCAGAAAGACAAGCTGAAGCAGGTCCAGGGACAGAGAGGTGGCAGCCCCAAGGAGCCACAGCTAGAGATGGTGCTGACTGGAGGGAAGTGACAACACTGGGGAGAGTGCATCCTGTCGACCCTGCATCATGTTTCTGACTGTGCTATGAGGCCAAAGAGGGAGCCTAGAGAGACTTCTCAGCCTCAAAACATGTCACAACTAGCAATTCTACTGGTTGAGACGTTGAGCAGCAGAGGAACTAGGAGAGGACAAGACTCCATTACCAACACTTAAGAGCCAAGTGCTCCAGGTAGCAGGGCGTTTGAGCTGAGCTTCTAGGCCCAGCAGATTGCCCTTTGAGGAAAGCCACAGGATAGAAGGAACTTCGGGCATTTCCCAGGAAAGAGTCTCCATTCTGGTCTCAGGTGTAGGGGGAGTCATGCCACAGCTGGTCATCTTGTCCTTTCCCACTTACACACAAAAGTTCGAACCTCCAGGTGCCAGCCTAGGACCTCCAGGAGCAGCAAACCTCTCGACTAACTTCTCTGGAAGTGATGAACCCAAGCCCACAAGTTCTAGCCACTCTAAACCAGGTTTCCATGGCCGTTCTAGCCACTCTAAACCAGGTTTCCATGGCCACTCTAGCCACTCTAAACCAGGTTTCCATGGCCACTCTAGCCACTCTAAACCAGGTTTCCATGGCCGTTCTAGCCACTCTAAACCAGGTTTCCATGGCCGTTCTAGCCACTCTAAACCAGGTTTCCATGGCCGTTCTAGCCACTCTAAACCAGGTTTCCATGGCTGTTCTAGCCACTCTAAACCAGGTTTCCATGGCTGTTCTAGCCACTCTAAACCAGGTTTCCATGGCCGTTCTAGCCACTCTAAACCAGGTTTCCATGGCCTGAGGCCCAAATCCTTGCCAATGATAAGCTAGACCACCAATCTGTCCCTCTGTCCCAGGTCCTGTCGGGGGTATCATTGCTACTGCCTCTACTTCTGGGCAGCAAAGAGCCATTAGCCAGTGAGTAAGAAAAACCACAGGGCAGAGGGCAGCCACAGGGACATTCCCCTCCCAGACCTGAGGCATACACTTCCCACATGGGGCTGCTTACCTGAATCCTGGGTTGGTGGAAGGACATGGGATCTGGTTCCTGGTGTCCAAGGTGCCCCTCAGGGGACTGTACTGAAAGGGGGGTGTTGGAGGGTGCTGGAAAGTAGGGCAAACAGGAAGGGAAGTGTCAGGGGCTGCCCAGGTGAGACAAGGTGGACAAGAAGCTGGTGTTATTGCTGCGGCCTTGATCGTCCTCTGTCACAAAGACAGAGTGGGCAGCCAGTCCTTTGCTCCTGCTTCACAGGGACCCAGCTCTGCAGTCCCTCCCAGGTCCCCACCCAAGCTGAGGACAACCACATTTATTTCAGGTATTCTAGCCCTGATAACAACCTCTCCCAGGACTCCCACGCCTAGCCAGGGATTTCCACACTTCCTCCAGGAGCTCCTCATCCCCGGCCGCACCTATTTCTTGCCCATCAGCATCGGGCTCCTCCTTCACACTGCAGCTGAGCTGGGTGGACCTCTCTATCCTGGTGTTCTGTGGACCCTCCCCAGGGGCTGCTCCAGGGGACTCCACTGTCCCTGAGGGATGAGAGCTCCTCGAGAATTCCTCTGTCTTCTGGGCTGCAGGGAGCACCTCCCGCTTCAGGATGTGAGCTGTGATCTGAGGAGAAGAGGCAAATCACAGGGGCTCTAGCTTTGGTCGGTCCCTCCAAGAAGCCAGTGCCTGCCATACTCACCCAGCCCAACAGCTGCCCAGGGTCATGCTGCAGCCTCTCGACCAGGGCAGCAGCCTCCTCGGGGCTGTCTGGCTGCTGACCTCGAACCCAGGCCTGGATCTCAGGGGGCAGTGTGCCCAAGAACTGCTCCAGCACCAGCATCTCCAGCATCTGTTCCTTGGAGTGGGCCTCGGGCCGCAGCCACTGGCGACACAGGTCTCTTAGCTGGGCCAGCGCCTCTCGGGGACCTGCCACCTCCTGGTAGCAGAACCCCCGGAAGCGCAGGCGTGCAGCCTCAGGCTCCTCAAAGGTGATCTCAGAGTCCATGAGGGATAGGCATGGGGGACCCAGAGGGGATGGCATTCTTGTTCAAAAGGGTCTTCTTGGAGCTATAAAGATGGACCTATAGAAAAGGAGGAGTCAGGGTATCAGCCAAGAGGCCCAGTCCAGGGAGCCAAGGCCAGAACAAAATAGACAATGAGGCTGGGAGTAGGGGAGGACTGGAAAGCTTTATGGAGGGAGGGGTGACAAGAGCTGAACACTGACAGGAACTGAGAGCAGGAAGAAGCTTTAGGGACAAATGCCTGGAGACAAGGTGTCCAGGGAACGTCTAGGAAATTGAAAACAGTTGAGTGGAAACTTCTAGGAAATTGCAAACAGGAGACTGTTGGGAGATGATGGTGAAGAGGTGGGCAAGGGGAGTCATCACAGGCTTCTAGGGTGAGGCTGAGGAGCTATAGACAGTGCCCAGCAGAGAAGGCAGGGGAGTGGGCAGGTGGGACATGGTCCAGGGTGAATGGGAGCCCCGAGGGTAGAGGGGTCAGTAGGTAGAAAGCAGAACCAGACTGGGTTATATGGAGGAATGCCTGTCACCACAAACTCTGAGACATGTTGACTGAAGTGGGGCACGGGGCACGTCCACACCAGGGTAGGGCAGGGGCTGAAGGAATACATGCACTCACGGACCTGATGTGGACTCCAAGAGACAGTGCTTGGTTGACCACACCATGGATGACTAGCACTGCTTGGGCCCACGCATGTAAAAATCAAAATAAAAGCCAAGAAAAACTGAGCCACACGTTGCGTGGAGTCGTGGGGTGGTCACAGTATCGAAACCCTTGAAGAGGGTCTGGAGTGAAACACGCCCACCTGAGGGCCTGTCAGACAAGCCAGACCAGGCCCTACTCTGGACTTATCCAAGGCACCCTAGAACTTTAGGATCTGTCTCCCAACAAGGGAAAGGAAGGAGAAGGTCTTCTAAGAGTACCAGGCCCGGAGACGAGGTATAGGGGACAGGGCAGAGGGAACGGCGTCAGGACTGGAGGAAAGGCCTGTGCAAAGGCTCAGAGGTGGGGACGCGCAGGGCACGTTGGAAGGTAGGCGGGCTCTCCAGAGCGCAAGGAGGAGGAGCCCGCCAGGCCCCAGAGGCGGCCCCAAACCCGACAAGGGGATGGGAAAAGCCGCGCCCTACCCAGCCAGGCCCGGGCTTACCTCAATAGCGGCGTCAGCGCGCGAGACTGCTTTCGCGAAGTGGCACCGCCACACCCCCGCGCCCCCGCTCGTTGCCTTGAAGACAAGGCCTGGCCAATCCCGCGCCTTCTCCGAAGGCAACGCCCCCGCGCATTGAACTGCATTTCCCATGAGCCTCAGCAAGCAAGGAAAGGCGCAGCCTCGGCAAGCGGACGCGCGTTTTCAGAGGCCTCTCACGCCTGGGAGGTGCATCGTTCCCCTCAGAGGAATCCGCAGTGTCGCAGTCCTGGGGGCTCCCTCCCTTCTGTGGCAGCTGCTCTTCCTTTGCGCCAGAGCCCCGGGACTCACCCAGGAGTTTAACGGGACACACCGCGTTAAACTCCTGCGCATGTGCACAGCGGGCAAGAGAGGTGAGGGGCGGGGAAGAGCATGATCACTTGGCCAATCAGAGCCTGCGCCCCGCCCCGGCCCCTCCCCTAGCGCAATCTTCGCCACCGCCCAGCCGTCCTCTGGGTAACAGCTAGGGCGCATCCGCCCCCCCCCACAGCCGTTGCCGTGGCGTCCGCAGGAGCGTCGCCCTGCCCTCCCCAGGGGCGGGAAGTGGTGGCGCCGTGTCCCCTTGTGTCGTGTAGTTCCGCCGGCACTCGCTTCCAGGTGGTCTAGGGAGGAGGCGTGGTGCGGTGCGGAAGGGCAGCATGAACCTGGGCTTTCTCTGCCACCTCTGGGGACTTCTGCGAGGAGGTTCTTCATTCGACCTCCGTTAGGCGCCCTGCAGACATGCAGGACAACAGCGACTCTGGCGGGACCCATTTATTGATGAGGTTAACTGTCTCATGGTTATACCCTCGGTCTCTGACATGTCTTCATATACCGATCCTGCAATGTGAGCGGTGGAGGTTTGTGTCCAGGCTATGGACGAGCTCTACCATTTGTTTACCTTTTATTTGCTTTGGGGAGCAGAACCAGACAGGGTGACCTTTACTTATTTAGTTTCTCCCAATAGGTGACGTTATTGCTTTCAAATCTGACTGTCGGGTGGGGTCAGTGAGCTTCCACACACCAAGTGGTTGAATGAACCACGACTTACTTGTTTAATCCTAAATCGCATTTACCTGTCTGGTTTGGTTTCTTCTGCTACCTGGGAATCCCTAGCTGCCTGCTCCGGATGAACAGCAGTGGTCTTAAACAAGCATTGGAAGCTCTGAGCATGTACGTGGGTGGGGCTTATCAACTCTGTGCTTCCCAGTGGCTTCAAGGTGTGCTGTTTTGGAAGTGGTTAGGTCGTTTCTCTGGAACTGCAGATTCTCCAGAAACAACTCTGTCACCCTTCACCAGGTGGGGAAAGCACTGAGGCTTTAAGGGCTTCTCAAGTAGGTGTCCTGCCCAGGCAGCTTTGTTACAGATCTCTCCCTGGGCTGCTGGTTCCCTGCCTTCTAGAGTTCTGCCAGTAACTGCTGAAATATTTGGCATTCCATCATTAGTGACAGCTCCCCATCCACTTCTAGCTTCAGAATGCCATTGCTGGTGAGTTCTTTCACCATTCTCATACTTGTGGGTTTATGTTTTAAACACTACTCTTGGTGGTTTAAGTGGATTTCAGAGCCGGGTGAGATGTATTTGTTCTATGTGATCTTTTGACCCAGAAGCCCAGGCACACTTTTGCAGTCACGGCCTGTTCAGCATGAATTAACAGCTTTGTGTCTGGGTGGGGGAAGCTGGGGAGTCCAACTGAGGGGCCGAGACATGGGGGAAGACAGGAGCCAAGGTTGGGGGCCACTGACCAGTACTTTGTATTGGCAGAAGCAGATTCAAAGAGGGTAGAGGAGCTGAAGGCCAACAGGGGCACAAGCAGAGATGTGAGAGTTTGAGAAGGCAGGATAGGGCATTGAACACAGCCTGAAGGGTCAGGGGGGTCAGGCCAGAAACAGCTCCAGGAGCATTTGTCTAAACCCAGAAAATATTTCATTTCATTTTCTGGGTATCCACTTGTTTCACAGATGCCTTTGCTGCTGAGTCCTATGGGCTTCCTTGAAGAGTCCTTTGGCAGGCAGGGTGAGTGGTTTGTCTGCATTTCACAGCTCTATAGAGTTGGTACAACTAAGAGTGCTGGACAGTGGGTCAGAGGCCCATAGGTTATCAGCAGGTCCAGCTCAGGGGACCCACCATTGCAGGGTACTGGGGAACTGGGTCCTACATGCCCTCCTCCTTGGAGGAACTTGGAAAGTTCAGGTGGCAGAAGATGGGTCTGGGCTAGGTGCGGTGGCTCACACCTGTAATCCTAGCACTCTGGGAGGCCGAGACAGGAGGATTGCTTGAGCTCAGGAGTTCGAGATCAGCCTGAGCAAGAGCGAGACCCCGTCTCTACTATAAGTAGAAACAAATTAATTGGACAACTAAAAATATATAGAAATAAATTAACCGGGCATTGTGGCGCATGTCTGTAATATCAGCTACTTAGGAGGCTGAGGCAGAAGGATTGCTTGAGCCCAGGAGTTTGAGGTTGCTGTGAGCTAAGCTGACACCACGGCACTCTAGCCTGGGCAACAGAATAAGATGAAGGAAGGAAGGAAGGAAGGAAGGAAGGAAGGAAGGAAGGAAGGAAGGAAGGAGGAAGGAAGAAGGGTGAAGAAGAAGGAAGGAGAAGGAAGAAAGAATGCCAACAACGAAAAATAGAAAAAAATTAGCCAGGTAGGTGGCAGGTACGAGCCCAGGAGTTTGAGGTTGTTTGTGAGCTAGGCTGAAGCCATAGCACTCTAGCCCAGGCAACAGAGTGAGACACTGTCTCAACAACACAAAAATTTTTTTAATTGTAAAAAATAAAAAAATAAAAAGATGACTCTGCTCCCCAGGTGGGTGGGAATTGAGTTTGTCTCTGCGCATGGGGATAGATATAAGGTTTTAGAGACCATGAGATGCAGTGCTCACTGTGCTGGAGTCAACTTTCAGGGTCACCACACATAGCACACCCTCTGCCTCAGCAGCAGGCAGCACACAGCCCTGTCTTGGATTCCTCACCTGCCACGCTCCCATGTCCAGGGCAAGGAAGGCTCATCGCCCAGCACAGCTGCTACTGGGGAAAGCCAACCTTGCTCACTTACCAACAAGTGACTGGATGTCCCCCCCGCATATACCACCTAAAAGAGGATACAGGCAGCCAAGTCCTTCACAGGCCCCCAGGTGCCTCTTCAGGTGCCCCAGGTTGAAGGAAAGATCCTGAACCTCTGTGACAATGACACTTGATGTTTTGTATAATGTTCAATATCATCTGCATTATATTATAGTAAAATTGGTGTCAGGTTGTTCCAGTACCAAGTGTATAAAACAGACTTTTACATAGAGCCTCTTTAAACTCTTATTAATCTGAACCAGGCCCTGGAGTCAGGAGAGGACAAGGCTATGGAGGTCCACATTGCTGGGCAAAAATTACAATGTCTATTTCAAGTTGTAAATGCTAGTCACCCTTTTCCAGGCAAAAGGCCATTATTTCCTAGCAAGTAAATGCCATGTGGGGTTGGAGCTGGTATGCTACAGGCCACAGGAAGCAAACTGGGCTATGACCTCAACTTCTGTCCGTACCATTTGGGGTTATTACATTGGGGTGGGGGGATAGACTTTAGAGGGTGTCACACACTGGCCTTAGGTAATGGCAAGTCCTTCCAATTCAGCACTCTGCCCACGCCACCAATTGAGAACAGAAGAACCAGGAGGGTGTGTCACTATCAACACAGCAAAAATGAGCGCTTTTTCTCCTCTGAAGTTATTTCATCACCCTCACATGGAAAGCTCCTGGTAAGCGTCAAATTTGGTAACAAGAGTCAGTGACAGAACGTGGCCAATGCTGAGACTTTGATGAGAATGTGTACAAGCACCACTGGAGAACCATCTCCTGGATCTGTGTTTCCAAACTGAGATCCACATCTCCTCTGAGGCTTCCACAGCCAAGTTGGCTATGTGTGGGAGCCAGGCACAGGCTCACACCTGGCAGGCTAGAGCACAGCCCCAGATGTGATGCTGGTCAGTCCACCTGAGTTTCAGTCCTGGCTCTGCTGTCTGCCATGGGCAATTCTCCTCCCTTCTGCATGCCTCAGTTTCCTCACTTCGAAGTAGGGATGCCAGCCACAGAAGCCCCCTCACAGGGGTATAGGAGAAACTAACCAGCACTCAGAGCAGGAGCTTGCAGCAAACATGTGTTGACTATCACGAGTGTCTGCCAAAATGGCGTTCAGGGACTAAAACTTATTTCTTTCTCCCGGAGGAGAAAGCTGAAACTGAGAACCCAGCCACTTACCCAAGGCCACCAACCTGATGCCACTGGCCTATGACCTATTTTCTCCTAGGCTGGCATGCAGGAAACCTTGGTTGAATTGAGGCCTGAGGCGAATGTCCCAAGCATCTGTCCTGTGGCCAGTTTGTGTGCAGACATCAGAAGTTTCTCTGGCCCTCCATGCCTCCGCATCCGCGCATTCCCCTCCTCACCTTCGCAGCCACTATCATAATACACGTGAGGTGTCACCAAGGTGCAGGGCTGCTCCTGTTGCCCTCCCACTGGTTCTGCTACAGTCTTGGCCTGCCAGAGTCCCAGCTGCTGTGTCCTACTCCTGATCTTTCTGCAGTGTGACCTCTTTGGGGATGGAGGTGTAAGCTGGGGCTTAGGTGGCAAATTCTGTCACCAAATGCAAGTGGAATGAAAGCTAAAGGATCTCCCTCCTCGATTCAAACGCACACAGCTTCACCCTGCTTTCAATTTGTAGACGATATGGGCCCTAAAGCTGTGGCAGGGACTCAAAGGAGGCCAGAGAAGGGCGGGGCTCTGGCTTCAGGCTTCAGCTGCCTTTAACACTGCAGCTCTGATGATGACCCCGATGGAGGCTGGACCCGGGTATGCAGGTTGGCCCTAGGGCGACGCACAGCCTTCTCCCCAGTATGGATCCTCTGGTGGTGAGAGGGCCGGGCGCTCCCGGAAGGCGCGCCCGCACTGTGCACACACAAAGGGCTTCTCCCCGGTGTGGATGCGCTGGTGGCTCAGCAGCACAGCGCCCTTAGCGAAGGCCTTGCCGCAGTCTGCGCAGCGGAAGGGCCGCTCCCAGTGTGCCAGCAGCTGGTGCTGTGTGAGGTTGGAGCTGTGGCTGAAGGCCCGGCCACACTGCGCGCAGGAGAAGGGCTTCTCCCCAGTGTGTACACGCTGGTGCTTAAACAGCGAGGAGCCCTGGCTGAAGGCAGCACCGCACAGCGCGCAGGCGTAGGGCTTCTCCCCCGTGTGCGTTCGCTCGTGCTGGATGAGGTGAGAGTTGCGGCAGAAGCGGCGGCCGCACTGCCCACAGGCGTAGGGCCGCCCGCCCGCGTGGATCTTGCGGTGCTGGCTGAGGTTGGAGCCGTGGCTGAAGGCCTTGCCGCACTCGCCGCAGCGGAAGGACTTCTCGGCCGTGTGGATGCGCTGGTGCCGCACCAGCGAGGAGCTGTGCCTGAAGGCCTTGCCGCACGCGGTGCACGCGTAGGGCGTCTCGCCACTGTGGATGCGCTGGTGCTGCGTCAGGTGCGACGTCTGGCTGAAGGCCTTGCCGCACTGGGCACCACTCGTAGGGCCGCTCCCGTTGGGTGCGCAGGTGCTTGAGGAGGTCTGAGCTCTTCACGAACACTTTGCTGCACGCCCCTGCATTCGAAAGGCTTCTCTCCGGGAGGCAGGGCCAGCGTGGGGACCTCGCCCAGTTCCTCCCAGGTTCGGGGCTCCTGGTCGCTGGGGAGTCTCTGAGGCTCACGCCAAGCCACGCTCATGCCGTGCTCCTGCCTAGTGCTAACAGACGCCACGTAGGGACGCTCCGGAAGGCTCTCCCAGGGGCGTTCCCCGCGTATGGCTTCCGCCGCTTGGCACCGTGGGCTGCATCCCTGCAGAGGGCGGCTGTGGCGGCCTTCTCCATGGACCCCCGCCCTCGAGAGGCCTCAGCGGGGACGTCAGCCGCAGGCCTAACGCTTGCCTGGCGGTGCCGAGCCGAGCAGAGCCTCTCCCAGTAGATCATCGACACCCCCGTGGGTTTTCGCTCCTGTGATGGGGAAGCACCCCACTGTCCCTCCAGGCTTTTTGCACTGTGGCAGGCACCAACAACAGGAAGACCTAGTAGCCATTCCAGGGGGCTACCCGGTAAGGCCCTGGCGATGCTGCTTCTCCAGAAACATCTCTATCCTCTGCCAAACACCAGGAGCCTGAAGCAGCAGAGAACGGTGGTTACGTGGGATATCCTGACCAGGAGGTGACCAAGAGGCTGAGTGGCAGGTAAGAGGACCCCACGGGCGGGGAGTAGAAGCTTAGGGCAAAAGCAGAGGCCGAGGGCTCCCACTGTGCGGAGGTGGTGTGGGACCTAGGAAAGCATCTGCCCTGCCAAGTGTGGCGCTCACTGTGTCAGGGGCTCCCACCATCTAGGCACCAGCCCAGGGACACTCGCAGGTGGGGGTGAGGAAAACTGAGCAGCTGCCGTATGCACCCGCAGCCTCTGCGCGGGCTGCTCCCCCCTTCCCAGGGCTCGCTCCCTGCTCCCCAGTGCTCCTCTCTCAGGCACCCCTCCCCAGCCTGCTTTTCTCCTTGCACTGACTCCCATCTAACGCCGTAGACTGTACTCACGATTCCTGCTTACCACTGCCCTCCCTGGCCCAGTCGGCCCACGAGGCAGGACCAGGAGCGTCCTGGCCGACGGCTGGGTCTACAGTACCTGGAATGGGCCTGCTCACAAGAAACACTTGATGGCCGGGGGCGGTGGCTCACGCCTGTAATCCTAGCACTCTGGGAGGCTGAGGCGGGTGGATCGCTCAAGGTCAGGAGTTCGAGACCAGCCTGAGCAAGAGCGAGACCCATCTCTACTATAAATAGAAAGAAATTAATTGGCCAACTAATATACATAGAAAAAATCAGCCGGGCATGGTGGGCATGCCTGTAGTTCCAGCTATGTGGGAGGCTGAGGCAGTAGGATCACTTGAGCTCAGGAGTCTGAGGTCGCTGTGAGCTAGGCTGACGCCACGGCACTCACTCTAGCCTGGACAACAAAGTGAGACTCTGTCTCAACAAAAAAAAAAAAACCACTTGATGAACACAAACAGGTGAACAAAGAGGAGAAGCACTGACCCCACAAATGTGGCAGCTACACGTGGAGGGTTTGAGGCCACACAGTCTAGCTGAATGTAGGACTCTGAGCAGGTCTCAGCATGGCCTGGGGCGACCTTCTGTGTGAACCCAGCTCCTGTGCCCTTAAAGCTCTTCCTTCAAGGGCAGCTAAGGCTGCAGCCTCCAGGAGAGGAGGGTGTGTCTGGGGGGCCAGGAAGGGGGTCCAGACGCTTGGACACAGGTTGGTCCCGAGTTCACCCACCCTGAGCTCCCACTCACCGGGGTTGTGCCTCCTGTGGGTGTTCCCGGCCAGGGTCCAGGTCATCCCACTGGGAATCCAGGGCTCCTCACCACGCTCAAGTTGGACGACCACACGAGGTCGGGAGGTGGAGAGCCCTTTGAGGAGGAGGAGCAGGTGAGAGGCCAGCCTCAGCTCAGGAGCACCCACCTCCCAACAGAGGGCAGGAGTCAGGGCTTCATGGAAAAAGATGATGTCATCTGTGCAACCAGGAGGACCTGAAGATGGTATCATGGCAAAGGGCTGACAGGAACAGGACATGGGTCCCGGGAGCAGCAACTGTGTCCCCAGCTCCAGAGGAAGGGGACTGAGCCCAGGCATGGAGAGGCCACAGCCAGAGGGACACGGTGAGTGGTTGAGCCATCCAGACTGCATGTCTCTGGGGTCCAGGCCAGAGGTATGGGTCTGCTCACCGGCCGCCAGGGACATGAGGGTGCCGTCCTGGTATGGCCTACCACCAGCTGTGCTTTCCACAGAGGACCCAGGGCCTTACCCAGTGAGGCCACAAGTGCGAAGTTTTCCAGCATCACATGGCGGTACAGGGCCCTCTGCGCTGTGTCCAGGAGCCCCCACTCCTCCTGGGAGAAGTACACGGCCACATCCTCGAAGGCCATCGGTCCCTACAACAGCAAGCACGGGGAGATATACAAGGTCTAAGCCTTACTAAGCTGTGTGACCCAGGACCAAGCTGCCCTCCGATGGTTACCTTCCCTGATGTCCCTTGGCCACTCATCCTCCTTCCCTGGGTTCTGCCCCAGGGCTGTCTTCAGATGGCACTTCCTTCACCTGTCTGGGCCCCTCCCTCCACCCTCCCTGTCTGGCTCACATATGCCACCTTGGCTTCCCCAGTGGCCACTCTGCATAAGCAAGTCAGAGCAAACCCTGGGTCCTGGGCTGGCTGCCACCAAGGGCAACCCCAGGTGTCCACTAGTAACTCAGCATGAGCACTCAGGAGCCTCCCCAGACATGCTCTAGTAAGAAGCAACTGTCTAAGTCCCAGCTATGGACCCCCAAGGCATGCCTCCCTGGGACACCCCTCTGTTGCGCTTGCCTGGCAGTTCCAGGCTGCTCCTCCAGCCTGAGGGACTGAATGATCCCTACCAGCCACCACACGGCAGTGGCCCCAAGGACCTGGTGAACACACAGGAGTCAATCCCTTCCTTCCTTCCCAGCAGCGCCCCCTCAATTTCTTTCCACTCTGCGGCCACCCTCCCCTCCCTAACCCCTGCCACATACTTGCCCTGACAGCCCCGGGCACCCCCAGGCACACTTCTCACCTTCAAGCCCTAACTGCCCATCCCTGGCCCAGTCCATGAGATCACCCCCTCCTCAGTCCAATTCCTAGCCACTGTTTTGGCCCAGAACACCAACAACGTGAGGTCCAGTGACTCCTCCACTCTGGGACTTCCCAGACTCCTTATCGTTCCCCTGAAAGAAAGCTGCTTTCGCTTCAAATTCTCCTTTCTGTCTCCGGCAGCTCCAGTTTTCTAGGTGCTCAGGCTGAAGAACACGGGCCGGTTCTTCAGTCACAACACTCGCTCACACCCCACACCTGACGCATCAGCAGACGCAGCCGGAACTCAATCGCCTCCGCCCACCGCCGCCCCATCTGGTCCCGGCGCCATCACCGCGCACCGGACTGTGGCAGTAGCCTCTTCCCTTCACACCGACGCCCCCACGCAGCAAACGGCGGTATGGGTTTTTGAAATCCCAACTAGAGGATGCTTGATTCTGTTCAAAACCTTCCCTGGCTCTCGACGCCCTCCGGTAAGCCCCAGTCCCCCAGCCTGCCATTTCAGGAACACACATCTCCTCCCGCCAAGCTCCACGCAGAGGACGCTCGTCCCAGAACCACCCAGGCTCAGTTTCCCCTCCCAGCTTTTGTACGTGCGGGCCTCCCCTGGAGCTTCCTTCACTACCTCACTCGCGTGGGGGCCAGAAGTCGGGGTCACACACGTGCCCGCCTCTCCGACGCGGACGCCGGGGCTTGGGCCGCACCCCTCCGCCCGCCCCGGGACAGCGAGAAGGAAAAGAGCCCGGGGAGGCCGTCCAGGCAGAGTCGCTCCCGCAGCGGGGCGAGGTCCACGCGAGGAGGGCCCCTCGACTCGCCGGCGCCCGGCCTGTCAGCGCCGCCGCCGGATCCTGCGGTTGGGAGGGCGGAGACCGGGGCGGCTCGGGCTCCGCCGTTGCCCGCGCGCAGCCCCCCAGCCGGCTGCGGGCCTCAGTCTCCCCGACAGTCCAAGGCGATCGACGACCCGGACGCGGCGTCGGCGGCTGCCGCGGGGGCGGGAGAGCACGTGGCTGCGGCTCCCGGCCCGACAGCCCCACAGGCCGCCCACGCTACACTCGGAGAAACCGAGGCTCGGGGGGCGGGGCCATCGGCCGGCGGTCACGACGCGTGCACGGGCGGGGGCACGAAGCGGCCCTTCGCTAGTACCTTCCTCGCCGGCCCCGCCTCTGGCCCCCAGGACCTCCTAGACAACCGGCCCCGACCCCGCCTGCCCCTGCGAGGATAGCCGGTGTGGTCTGAAGCCCGGCAGTGAAGTGACAGTCCCACACGCCGGAAGTCCAGCCCTCTAGCCTCTCAGCGGCCCAATGCGCGCCGCTGCGCTCGCGCGGGGCCTTCTGGGTGTTGTAGTTTCTCCGGCGTATAGGCGGCTCCATTACCGATCTCCATGGCAACGGCCTAGCATCGCCCGGCCGCGCGTGGGAAATGGGTGTCCTGCGACTGCACCGCGGGTCCCACGGGCCCCGACGCGTGGGAGGAGTTGCCCGGTGGTCGTCCCGCGTTCGGGGTTCCCTGCGTCTGCTCGCGCGGCGCCCGAGACTAAACCCCGGAGGTGCGCAAGCGGGAACTGCGGAGGTTCCAGAAGCAACCGAGGCCAGGCTCACAGCGGCGGAGACGTCCCGGGAAGGGCGAGTTAAAGGGCGCAGGAGCGTCAGCCTGGAGCTCTGGCTTCACATCCCAGCTCCCCTCTTACGGCCGCGGGCCGGCGATTTGACCTCTCTGTGGGTCTGTGTCCTGGGGAAGTTTAGTATCAGTTTCGCGACCCCTACCCCAAGAATTGCCAGTCCCAAAGCCCACGTTGTTCTCGAGTCTGAGGTTGTTCTTGGACAGTTGCCCAAACCATCCGTTTTCCTTGTAAGCTTGGACCCCGCAGAAGGTACTTTCTTAGTCTTGCTTGTGCTTAAGAGATTCTGTAGTCCTTGCCTTGCCCCACACATTACAATATGGATTCCCCCCGCCCCCCACCGTTCTGAGTGTGACACATGAAAACTAAAGGCAGGACACGGTCACTGTAAATTAACCCTGTTTTTGGAAGAGAAGAAAAGGTATTTTTTCTTTGTTGCTGCACTGTGATGGCCTAGTTTTTAGGGTCCTTAGACAGTCCTCATGTGTCAAGTGGCTTAATTTGTTTTGGTTCCCTCCCTCTAGACCTCCCTCCACGCATAACTATCTATCTACTGCCAACTATGACTGTGCACAGATTTGATACTGCTTGTAAATCCTTGTAGCGCAAGAGAGCTCATCAATTTTGGAATGTTTGTATGTACGTTTTGCCTGCTTTGAAAGAATTTAAGGACACCCAGGTCTTAATTTTTTTGTTGTTTTTGTTTGTTCGTTTGAGACAGAGTCTGGCTCTGTTGCCTGGCCTAGAGTGCCGTGGCGTCAGCCTGGCTCACAGCAACCTCAAACTCCTGGGCTCAATCGATCCTCCTGCCTCAGCCTCCGAGTAGCTGGGACCACAGGCACGCGCCACCATGCCCGGAAAATTATATATATATATATATATGTATATCTATATTTTTTCTTTTTTAGTTGTCCAGCTAATTTCTTTCTATTTTTTTAGTACAGCCGGGATCTCGCTCTTGCTCAGGCTGGTCTCAAACTCCTGAGCTCAAATGATCCTCTCGCCTCAGCCTCCCAGAGTGCTAGGATTACAGGTGTGAGCCACCACGCCCGGCCCAGGTCTTAATTTTGTGATTGAGTCAAATTTTGTTTAGAGGCATTATTAACATTTTAGTCAATGTTTGAATGTTTGGAAGCAATTGAATTCTTTTTTGGTTTTGTTTTGTTTTTTCCTTTTGAGACAGAGTCTGGCTCTGTATCCCATGGTGGAGTGCCAGGGGGCATTCATAATTCACTGTAACCTTCAACTCCTTGGCTTAAGTGATTTTCCTACCTCAGTGTCCCTAGTATCTAGGACTGCAGGCAACCCTCAGACTCCCTGGTAATTTTTTTAATTATTATTTTATAGAGAGGAGGGTCTCACCAGTTTGCCCAGGCTTGTCTCAAACTCCTGCCCTGAAGCGATTTCCTCCCCCCACACTTCAGCCTCCCAACCTTCTGGGAGTACAGGTGTGTACCTTGATTCTGGCCCGTATACTCTTTATTTTAAAATTATGCTTCTAGGCTGGGCGCGGTGGCTCACGCCTGTAATCCTAGCACTCTGGGAGGCCGAGGCGGACAGATTGCTCGAGGTCAGGAGTTCGAAACCAGCCTGAGCGAGAGCGAGACCCCATCTCTACTATAAATAGAAAGAAATCAATTGGCCAACTAATATATATATAGAAAAAATTAGCCGGGCATGTTGGCGCATGCCTGTAGTCCCAGCTACTCGGGAGGCTGAGGCAGGAAGGGCCCGCTCCCAGTGTGCCAGCAGCTGGTGCTTGTGAGGTTGGAGCTGTGGCTGAAGGCCGCGCCACACTGCGCGCGGCGAGAAAGGGCTTCTCCCAGTGTGTACACGCTGGTGCTTAAACAGCGACGAGCCCTGGCTGAAGGCAGCACCCGCACAGCGCGCAGCGGTAGGGCTTCTCGTGTGCGTTCGCTCGTGCTGGATGAGGTGAGAGTTGCGCAGAAGCGGCGGCCGCACTGCCCACCAGGCGTAGGGCCGCCCGCCGCGTGGATCTTGCGGTGCTGGCTGAGTTGGTAGCCGTGGCTGAAGGCCTTGCCGCACTCCGCCCAGCGGAAGGACTTCTCGGGCCGTGTGGATGCGCCTGGTGCCGGCACCAGCCGAGGACTGTGCCTGAGGCCTTGCCGCACGCGGTGCACGCGTAGGCGTCTCGCACTGTGGATGCGCTGGTGCTGCGTCAGGTGCGACGTCTGGCTGAAGCCTTCGCCGCACTGGGCACCACTCGTAGGGCCGCTCCCGTTCGGGTGCGCAGGTGCTTGAGGAGTCTGAGCTCTTCACGAACACTTTTGCTGGCACGCCCTGCATCGAAAGGCTTCTCTCCGGGAGGCAGGGCAGCGTGGGGACCTCGCCCAGTTCCCTCCAGGTTCGGGCTCCTGGTCGCTGGGGAGTCTCTGAGGCTCACGCCACCAGCCACGCTCATGCCGTGCTCCTGCCTAGTGCTAACAGACGCCACTCAGGACGCTCCGGAAGGCTCTCCCGGGCGTTCCGCGTATGCTTCCGCCGCCTTGGGCACCGTGGGCTGCATCCTGGCAGAGGGCGGCCTGTGGCGGCCTTCTCCATGGACCCCCGCCCTCGAGAGGCCTCAGCGGGGACGTCAGCCGCAGGCTAACGCTGCCTGGCGGTGCCCGAGCCGAGCAGAGCCTCTCCCAGTAGATCATCGACACCCCCCGTGGGTTCGCTCTGTGATGGGGAAGCACCCCCTGTCCTCCAGGCTTTTTGCACTGTGGCAGGCACCAACAACAGGAAGACCCTAGTAGCCATTCCAGGGGGCTCCCGGTAAGGCCCTGGCGATGCTGCTTCTCCAGAAACATCTCTATCCTCTGCCAAACACCAGGAGCCTGAAGCAGAGAGAACGGTGGTTATGGGATATCTGACCAGGAGGTGACCAAGGCAGGCTGAGTGGCAGGTAGAGGCCCCACGGGCGGGGAGTAGAGCTTAGGGCAAAAGCAGAGGCCGAGGGTCTCCCACTGTGCGGGAGGTGGTGTGGGACCTAGGAAAGCATCTGCCCTGCCAAGTGTGGCGCTCACTGTGTCAGGGTCCCACCATCTAGGCACCAGCCCAGGACACTCGCAGGTGGGGGTGAGGAAAACTGAGCAGCTGCCGTATGCACCCGCAGCTCTGCGCGGGCTGCCTCCCCCTTCCCAGGGCTCGCTCCCTGCTCCCCAGTGCTCCTCTCTCAGGCACCCCTCCCCAGCCTGCTTTTCTCCTTGCACTGACTCCCATCTAACGCCGTAGACTGTATCACGATTCCTGCTTACCACTGCCCCTCCCTGGCCCAGTCGGCCACGAGGGCAGGACCAGGAGCGTCCTGGCGACGGCTGGGTTACAGTACTGGAATGGCTGCCACACCAGAAACACTGATGACGAAAAATAGAAAAAAATTAGCCAGGTAGGTGGCAGGTACGAGCCCAGGAGTTTGAGGTTGTTGTGAGCTAGGCTGAAGCCATAGCACTCTAGCCCAGGCAACAGAGTGAGACACTGTCTCAACAACAACAAAAAAATTTTTTTTAATTGTAAAAAAATAAAAAAAGATGACTCTGGCTCCCCAGGTGGGTGGGAATTGAGTTTGTCCTCTGCGCATGGGGGATAGATATAAGGTTTTAGAGACCATGAGATGCAGTGCTCACTGTGCTGGAGTCAACTTTCAGGGTCACCACACATAGCCACACCCTCTGCCTCAGCAGCAGGCAGCACACAGCCCTGTCTTGGATTCCTCACCTGCCACGCTCCCATGTCCAGGGCAAGGAAGGCTCATCGCCCAGCACAGCTGCTACTTGGGGAAAGCCCAACCTTGCTCACTTAACACAAGTGACTGGATGTCCCCTCCCCGCATATACCACCTAAAAGAGGATACAGGCAGCCAAGTCCTTCACAGGCCCCCAGTGGCCTCTTCAGGTGCCCCAGGTTGAAGGAAAGATCCTGAACCTCTGTGACAATGACACCTTGATGTTTGTATATGTTCAATATCATCTGCATTATATTATAGTGAAATTGGTGTCAGGTTGTTCACACAAGTGTATAAAAAGAACTTTTATCATAGAGCCTCTTTAAACTCTTATTAAATCTGAACCGGGCCCTGGAGTCAGGAGAGGACAAGGCTATGGAGGTCCACATTGCTGGGCAAAAATTACAATGTCTATTTCAAGTTGTAAATGCTAGTCACCCTTTTCCAGGCAAAAGGCCATTAATTTCCTAGCAAGTAACATGCCATGTGGGGTTGGAGCCTGGTATGCTACAGGCCACAGGAAGCAAACTGGGCCTATGACTCCAACTTCTGTCCGTACCATTTGGGGTTATTACATTGGGGTGGGGGATAGACTTTAGGAGGGTGTCACACATGGCCTTAGGTAATGGCAAGTCCTTCCAATTCAGCACTCTGCCCACCCACCAATTGAGAAAGAAGAACAGGAGGGTGTGTCACTATCAACCACAGCAAAAATGAGCAGCCCTTTTTTCTCCTCTGAAGTTATTATCATCACCTCACATGGAAAGCCTCCTGGTAAGGTCAAATTTGGTAACAAGAGTCAGTGACAGAACGTGGCCAATGCTGAGACTTTGATGAGAATGTGTACAAGCACCACTGGAGAACCATCTCCCTGGATCTGTGTTTCCAAAGCTGAGAGTCACATCTTCCTCTGAGGCTTCCACAGCCCAAGTTGGCTATGTGTGGGGAGCCAGGCCAGGCCCTCACACCTGGCAGGCTAGAGCACAGCCCCAGATGTGATGCTTGGCCAGTCCACCTGAGTTTCAGTCCTGGCTCTGCTGTCTGCCATGGGCAATTCTCCTCCCCTCTGTGTGCCTGTTTCCTCGCTTCGAAGTAGGGATGCCAGCCACAGAAGCCCCCTCACAGGGGTATAGGAGAAACTAACCAGCACTCAGAGCAGGAGTTTGCAGCAAACACATCCTGGCCTTATTAGGAATTTGAGAGTGTCTGCCAACATGATGCTCAGTGGCCTCAGATCTTTCTGTCTCCAGAGGAGAAGCTGAAACTGAGAGCCCAGCCACTTTTCCAAGGCAACAAACCTGACTCCACTGCCCCATAGCCTCCTGTGTGCTGGGATGGCCCCCAGGAATCCTTGGATGAAATGAGGCCTGGGGGGAATATCCCAGTATCTGTCCTGTGGCCAGTTTGTGTGCAGACATCAGAAGCTTCTCTGGCCCTCCCTGCCCTCGCATGCCCGCATTTCCCCTCCTCACCTTCGCAGCCGCTGTCATAATACACATGAGGTGTCACCAAGGTGCAGGGCTGCTCCTGTCGCCCTCGCACTGGTTCTGACTACAGTCTTGGCCTGCCAGAGTCCCAGCCGCTGTGTCCTACTCCTGATCTTTCTGCAGTGTGACCTCTTTGGGCATGGAGGTATAAGCTGGGTCTGAAGTGCCAAATCCTGTCACTACGTGCAAGTGGAAACACAGCAAAAGGATCTCCCTCCTCTCTGACTCAAATGCACAGGGCTTCCCCTGACTGTGGATTTGCAGAAGACATGGGCTCTCTAAGTGAGGCAGACATTCACAGAAGGCTGGGGAAGGGCGGGGCTGTGGCCTCAGGCCTTGGCTGCCTTCGGGATTGATGCTGGGCCCTAGTCGGGAGAGAGCTCTGCGTCCCTCCTCGCCGCACCATTCGATGATGGCCACGATGGAAGCCTGGTCTGGGGGCGCAGGCTGGCGATGGCCTGCCGGATTTCTCCCCAGTATGGATCCTCTGGTGGTGGAAGAGGGCCGGGCGCTCCCGGAAGGCGCGCCCGCACTGTGCACACACAAAGGGCTTCTCCCCGGTGTGGATGCGCTGGTGGCTCAGCAGCACAGCGCCCTTAGCGAAGGCCTTGCCGCAGTCTGCGCAGCGGAAGGGCCGCTCCCCAGTGTGCAGCAGCTGGTGCTGTGTGAGGTTGGAGCTGTGGCTGAAGGCCCGGCCACACTGCGCGCAGGAGAAGGGCTTCTCCCCAGTGTGTACACGCTGGTGCTTAAAGAGCGAGGAGCCCTGGCTGAAGGCAGCACCGCACAGCGCGCAGGCGTAGGGCTTCTCCCCCGTGTGCGTTCGCTCGTGCTGGATGAGGTGAGAGTTGCGGCAGAAGCGGCGGCCGCACTGCCCACAGGCGTAGGGCCGCCCGCCCGCGTGGATCTTGCGGTGCTGGCTGAGGTTGGAGCCGTGGCTGAAGGCCTTGCCGCACTCGCCGCAGCGGAAGGACTTCTCGGCCGTGTGGATGCGCTGGTGCCGCACCAGCGAGGAGCTGTGCCTGAAGGCCTTGCCGCACGCGGTGCACGCGTAGGGCGTCTCGCCACTGTGGATGCGCTGGTGCTGCGTCAGGTGCGACGTCTGGCTGAAGGCCTTGCCGCACTGGGCACACTCGTAGGGCCGCTCCCCGGTGTGGGTGCGCAGGTGCTTGAGGAGGTCTGAGCTCTTCACGAACACTTTGCTGCACGCCCTGCATTCGAAAGGCTTCTCTCCCGGGAGGCCAGGGCCAGCGTGGGGAGCCTCGCCCAGTTCCTCCCAGGTTCGGGGCTCCTGGTCGCTGGGGAGTCTCTGAGGCTCACGCCAAGCCACGCTCATGCCGTGCTCCTGCCTAGTGCTAACAGACGCCACGTCAGGGACGCTCCGGAAGGCTCTCCCAGGGGCGTTCCCCACGTATGGCTTCCGCCGCTTGGGCACCGTGGGCTGCATCCCTGGCAGAGGGCGGCCTGTGCGGGCCTTCTCCATGGACCCGCCGCCCTCGAGAGGCCTCAGCGGGGACGTCAGCCGCAGGCTAACGCTTGCCTGGCCGGTGCCCGAGCCGAGCAAGAGCCTCTCCCAGTAGATCATCGACACCCCCGTGGGTTTTCGCTCCTGTGATGGGGAAGCACCCCACTGTCCCTCCAGGCTTTTTGCACTGTGGCAGGCACCAACAACAGGGAAGACCCTAGTAGCCATTCCAGGGGGGCTACCCGGTAAGGCCCCTGGCGATGCTGCTTCTCCAGAAACATCTCTATCCTCTGCCAAACACCAGGAGCCTGAAGGCAGAGAAACGGTGGTTACGTGGGATATCCTGACCAGGAGGTGACCAAGGCAGGCTGAGTGGCAGGTAAGAGGGACCCCACGGGCGGGGAGTAGAAGCTTAGGGCAAAAGCAGAGGCCGAGGGCTCTCCCACTGTGCGGGAGGTGGTGTGGGACCTAGGAAAGCATCTGCCCTGCCAAGTGTGGCGCTCACTGTGTCAGGGGCTCCCACCATCTAGGCACCAGCCCAGGGACACTCGCAGGTGGGGGTGAGGAAAACTGAGCAGCTGCCGTATGCCACCCACGCCTCTGCGCGGGCTGCTCCTCCCCTTCCCAGGGCTCGCTCCCTGCTCCCCAGTGCTCCTCTCTCAGGCACCCCCTCCCCAGCCTGCTTTTGCTCCTTGCACTGACCTCCATCTAACACGGTAGACTGTACTCACGATTCCTGCTTACCCACTGCCTCTCCCTGGCCCAGTCGGCCCCACGAGGGCAGGACCAGGAGCGTCCTGGCCGAGGCTGGGTCTACAGTACCTGGAATGGGCCTGCTCACAAGAAACACTTGATGGCCGGGGGCGGTGGCTCACGCCTGTAATCCTAGCACTCTGGGAGGCTGAGGCGGGTGGATCGCTCAAGGTCAGGAGTTCGAAACCAGCCTGAGCAAGAGCGAGATCACTGTCTCTACTAAAAATAGAAAGAAATTAAATTGGCCAACTAAAAATATGTAGAAAAAATAAGCTGGGCATGGTGGCGAATGCCTGTAGTCTCAGCTACTTGGGAGGCTGAGGCAGGAGGATTGCTTGAGCCCAGGAGTTTGAGGTTGCTGTGAGCTAGGCTGATGCCACGGCACTCACTCTAGCCTGGGCAACAAAGCGAGACTCTGTCTCAGAAAAATATATATAAATAAAAATAAAATTATGCTTCTAATATGTAATTATTTTACCCTAGGCAAATGTGAACTGTTTAATATTTAGAGAAATGCTACATGTTTGATAGATTCATAATTTAATGGATTAGTCATGAAATAAAAATACCAAAAAGTTTTCTCTGTACCCACAGTAGCGCCATCTGCTTGGCTCAAATCCCCACCCTGCACAAGATTTCACTGGGGTTGGTGAGGGGTCCCAAAAGGAAGGTGATTGAACTCTAGCCAACCTGGTCAGACCTCTGGTTAAGCTCCTGTGTCCTTATCTGTAAAACAGATAGAGCAGTAAATAATTGCAAGATGCCAGTTTGTCTTCGGCACTGCTGTATGTCCTTTCACATATAATTAGTGAAGACATGTGATTGTTTGTGGGTTTTATTACTAGCAAAATCCAAGCACTTGCCTTACAGCACAGAGATAATTCTCAACCAGGGTGGGATGTGAACCTACAGAGTCTAGCTCCAGGGTCTGTACCTTTAACCACCTGTCAATTTCGAGGACTTGTCTGCAGGGCTGTTCAGAAGTTTAAACAGAATAAAGGTTTAAGTGCAAAATGTAATGCCCAGGATTTACTAAACTGTCAGTACGTATTAGCCATTATTTCTTGGCTGTTAAGACAGGTTTGTTTTGTTTTGTCTTGTTTTGTTTTTGAGACAGAGTCTCACTCTGTTGCCTGGGCTAGAGTGCCGTGGCGTCAGCCTAGCTCACAGCAACCTCAAACTCCTGGGCTCAAGCGATCCTCCTGCCTCAGCCTCCCCAGTAGCTGGGACTACAGGCATGCACCACCATGCCTGGCTAATTTTTTCTCTATATATTTTTAGTTGTCAATATAATTTCCTTCTATTTTTAGCAGAGATGGGGTCTTGCTCTTGCTCAGGCTGGTCTGGAACACAGACCTTGAGCTATCCACAGCCTCAGCCTCCCAGAGTGTTAGGATGATAGGCGTGAAACACTGGGCCTGGCCTAACTTCTTGAACTCTCTATTTTAACATTATCCTTCTAACTGTGTAATTACTCAGATATAGGTGAATGTTAATTGCTTAATATTTAGAGATGTGCTTATTGCTTGATATATTCAGAATTCAATGGTTTGGGTTTGAAAGAAAAATAACAATGTCAATGGAGATGAAGCCAAATTCTGTAAAATAATTTTTTTTTAATTTCAGCATATTATGGGGGTACAGATTTTAAGGTTTCAATACATGCCTATTTCCCCTCCTCCCCCCACAAGTCTGAGTCTCCAGCATGACCATCCCCCAGATGGTGCACATCTCACTCATTATATATGTATATACCTGCCCCCCTCCCACCTGCCCAATACCCTATTACTGTAGTACCTATGTGACCACTTAGGTGCTGTTCAGTTAATACCAATTTGCTGGTGAGTATATGTGGTGCTTGTTTTTCCATTCTTCGGAAATGAGGACTGAACTCTAATTTTTTTGCTAAAAACTCCTTCCTAAGGAGGCCAGCTGGGTTAGGCTGGCAAATGGTAAGGAGGCCAGCAGGGTTAGGCTGACAAAGGGTAAATTCCCACTAAGCAGCTTTTGTTAACCAAACGAAGCAGTGGTTTACTTCCTGACATGATTCTGGTATGGCATTAACATCACCTAAAAGATAAGAAGCCCCTGTCTTAACTCAAGCATCCTGGCAGATGCCTATTATAAATCCAAAATGTCTTAACTGAGCATCCTAGCAGGTGCCTATTCTTAAATTTAAAGCTTGTTTAAGACCACTGCTGTTCATCCGGAGCAGGCAGCCAGGGATGCCCAGGTAGCAGAGTAAGTCGTGGTTTAGCCACTTGACGTGTGGAAACTCACTGACCCCACCCCACAGTCGGATTTGAAAGCAATAACATCACCTATTGGGAGAAACTAAATAAGTAAAGTTTGCCCTGTCTAGTTCTGCTCCCCAAAGCAAATAAAAGGTAAACCAATGCTTTTTCACTTCCTCGCTTCCAAGATGACAAAGAAAAGAAGGAATAACGGTCGTGCCAAAAAGCGCCGTGGCTATGTGCAGCCTATTCGCTGCACGAACTGTGCCCAATGCGTGCCAAAAGACAAGGCCATAAAGAAGTTTGTCAACGGAACATAGTGGAAGCCACAGCAGTCATGGACATTTCTGAAGCGAGCGTCTTCTTCGATGCCTATGTGCTTCCCAAGATGTACGTGAAGCTTCATTAATGTGTGAGTTGTGTCACTCACAGGAAGGTAGTCAGGAATGCTGCTCAGGAAGCCCGCAAGGACCGAACACCCCCAACCAGATTTAGACCTGCAGGTGCTGCCCCAAGACCTCCCCCAAAGCCTATGTAAGGAGTTGAGTCCTCGACGAGAATCACTGCCAGACAGAGTGTCTCTGCAGAAAAGACAGATTCTAGGAGAAATTAGAAGAAAGATGCAAGCAGACAAGCATACATAGGATGAGGGTCAGAAGGAGGGATACTGGAGACTGTGGGAGACTCCACGGGAGGAGGTTGTGGAGGAAACTGGAAGAAGTTAATTCCCGAGTAGCCTGGAGACCAGCAGCAAGGGTAGGTGTCGCAGTTAACTTCCCCTTCCCGTGCATCTCGGACTGCTGGTGGGCTCCCCAGTGGTTGGAGAGACCTGCGGACACCAGCCCAGAGATAGCCACCACCAGTGAAGTGGTAACCCTATAGCGGACGCGGCACCAGGCTCCCAACTCCCTCGGGCACCTCCGTGTGCACAGACCTGAGCTGCGTGGCAGGTGCCATATTGCTACACTCTCTCCTCTCCCATCCCTATCCGCGGCTGCCAAGAGAGACAATATATCCACCAGCCAGAGGCATCTCCAGGGAATGGGACCTTCCCTTTGGGGCCCTACAGCTGACTAAGGGGTACTCGGACGGTGAGCTCCCTACCCGCCAGCCCTCCCAGGTGCTGCTGGCCCAGTGATAGTGATTCCAGGAGAGCGGGACTGACCCTGAGGCTGGGAGACATCAACCCAGCTTGGGCTCCCGTGGGTGAATTGGGACTGGCACTCCTCTCCTTAGTGGGGTCAGGGATTGAACTCCGAGGCCGAGTGGTCAGACCTTCAGACCAGATCCCGTGCACCCAGGCCTCCCATTGCCTGGGGCACAGAAGGGATATTCGTGAGCAGTCTCCTGAGGTGTGCATGCTTTCAGGGGCAGATCAGTGTGCTTGAGGGCAACCCTCCTCCCAAAGGGGGGCCATGTGCCCAGCCCAGGCGGTGACCCTGCGCAGGGAACCTCCTGGCCAGCATCACAGCCAGGGGAGACGCAGTGGCAGGAGGTCTGGCCTGCTGGCAGAGGCCCAGGAGAAACTGCGGAGGTGGGGATGGTAGAAAGGAGTGAGGCCTGCTCCAGACTGCGGGTCTCAGACGGCCCAATCACACATACAGACTTTCTGACTCCCGGAAGCAGAGAACAGAAGTTTGACCCCTGCTAACAGTATTTGTGGTGCCTAAGGGCAGGCTTACCCAGCCCAGCTCCGCCCAGACCACGCCCAGACCAGCCCACACTGAGGTGGAGAATAAGGACACACCTGGAAGTCCCAGGGCCCCACCCACCACCTGAGGCACTAGAGTGCCTCACCAGAAGAACAAGAACTGGATACAAGACTCAAAAACAACAGTGTAGCCTCTTCCTCCAAGCAAGCGCCACCTACTGACAGGGAGGATATTCTGCACACCCTTTTCACAACACCAACTGACTTGCCATACAGGTTGTGGTTGAATCTCACCTACAAACACCCCCTACTGGCTCAGAGACTAAACATGGCATGTCATTATCCAAATAAACACCTAAAGGAAAGAAGCAACAACTGATCCAGATGGGAAGAAATCAGCAAAGGAACTCTGGAAATATGAAGAACCAAATGGAAAGCACACCCCCAAAGAGGAGCACCAGCCCTTTAGAAATGGACACAAACCAAAATAAGACCACTAAAATGACAGAAGAGGAATTTCAAACGTGGATCGTAAGAAAATTCAACAACTTGCAAGAAGAACTGGATAACCAACACAAAGAAAACGCAAAAAGATTCCAGGACCTAGAACAAAAATTCACTAAGTAAATTGAAACAATGAAGAAAAGTCTAACCTAACTCCTGGAAATGAAGAATCTGGAAATGAACCTCTGTGGAAAGCAATATGGAGATACTTTAAAGTGATACAAGTACATCTACCATTTGATCCAGCAATTCCACTACTGGGCATCTACCCAAAAGATCATAAGTCACTTTATGAAAAAGACACCTGGACTCAAATGCTTATAGCAGCACAATTCACAATTGCAAAGGTGTGGAAACAACCCAAGTGCCCGTCAATTCATGAGT